GAGCTGCAACACCTGACTGCTGCACGGTACGGTTTGGAATTGTGTGCACTTGTGCCAGCGAGGAGAACCAAGCATGGTTTTCGAATGTTTCGGCCACGGTCCTTCCACCTCGGTTCGTTGATGGTGACATGACATATGCCTTTAGTAAACAGGTCTTGGTCGAAGGTGCTGACGGAACATGTACAAAAACAGAGGACATCGGTGGATGACTCGGCCCTGTGGCGTTGCCCATTGCTATCGAAGGAAGGTCTAAGACTACCAATGTGAGCACCATTGCTACTCCGAAGGCTGTCGCAAAGTCTGCTGGGAACTGCAGAACGCCAAGCGTTTCAGGTGGTTGTGTATCACGTGTCACTCAAGCGAAGGGTGGATGGTATGTTTCAGGTACTGCCAGAATCACCATCGATCTGTTCCAAACTTGGCTTACTCGACTGCTGCAGGCTTCATCCCCAGCGAGCTTTGTGCTCAAAGAATACATTGGTGCTACGAGGCAGTGGCCTGGACAGAGAGTCTACTCCCATGAAGGACGGCGATACACATCTACGATAACTTCTCGGTCCTGCGGAGGAAGGACACTATCTACGAGCATCGAGTCGCGCATGGACCCAAAATTACTGCACACTCGTTATCACCGTACTCACAAAAATAAACGTATAGCTCACCACTCAGCTGGTTGCCACCTAGACGAAGCACCCGCAGTCCACCTAGGTTTCCCAGCTCCTTGGGTATGCGCCCTCCAAAATGTAGCAAAGCGAAAACGGAAAAAGCGAAATAACGAAACCATCGAGCTTCCAGAGAATGGGCGGGACACACACTTGCTACACATTGAAATGCTGCCCCGGTTGCCGCAAACGTTTCTGTCGCCACCTTTCCGTGTTTCGAGTTCCAGAATTCATGCCCAAAAAGCTTGAAGGTCATACCATGTTCAAGTATCGTCGCCTGAGAGCGAACCCCCTCATGGAGGACGAGAGTGGGAATGAAATTCCGCAATCGGACTACAGAGTGCTTTCGGCAGCCCCTTCTAGAAGAATCTCGCCGGCATGGTACCGTAGAAGCACCGGTGTTGTGTCATGGTGCAGTTAACATCATGCGTTCCAGAAAGTGCCTCGCACGCTAACGTTCTATGACCCCTAATCAAACACGGCGTGGACAGAACAATATCTTCCTCAAGCTTTCATCGCACGACTTCCTCATTAGTCCATTTTGTTGTTGTGCCTCTTTGTGCAGACCGACACCCAAGGAGATGGGGAGTTTCACAGAGCTGGAAACAGTATTTTCAATGCTGCAATCAGCTTACAGGTAGTGAGGCGGGGCAGTACAACTTTATTCGTTAGTTCCAAAGCCTGAATCTTTCAGACCACCTACTCACCCCCGCCCATCAAGATTCTACAACACCTTTTCCACCCAAGCGCGGTCATGTTCTGGTAGCCAGGGGACTCTACTTTCTAGCCTTACCGACGCCAAGGTGAGTACGTGTTCTGCAAAGCGTTGGGGTAACATTTGCTTGCCAACTCGCGGGTGGGACGGGCCTTCGAGACAACGCACCCTTGGTCAAATGCCGGCACTTCATGGACCGCTCCAAGGTACCAAGTACATCATATTGAACCTGTCACAGAAGCCGTGACCTTGACGAAATGCAGACACCTAATCGCCCACTCTGCATCATGTTCAACCTACCACAGGACCTATACCGCCCAAGCTTGGGAACCTAAGCACTCCGCGTCAACTTCACCCATCCACAGCTAGCTAAGTAGCGAGTTGCGATTCACCGGCTTCGACGCATGACTGTCTAGGACAACTGCCTTCGTTCTGGAACACACTTACCCATGGGTACATCAGTGAATCGATGTTCCGATACAACGAACGCGACACTGTTGGCACATATCTCACCAGTGAGCTGGTTGGAGTCAAGGTCAAGCGTCTGCAGCTGGCTCAGCCCCCCTAGCTCCTCCGGGATGTGTCCTGCTCAAGCACCACAGCAACAACGCATGATATTCTCACGTCACGGAGATTGCCGAGTCCTCCGACGTCGCCGACTCACGCACACGAACTTGAGAAGGTGTTCTACAAGGCATTGGTTCACGTCTTCGATAAACTCATCCAACAACACTTGTTGGACATCGAAGCTGCCCACTTCCAAAACAGTACGATCTCGGTATGATCCAACGTACTGCTGACGTACAGCAGAAATAAATCTTGACCTCTTGGGACCCACCGCTGCGATCTGGAACAATTAATGATGCCAGCCAACAAGCCTGACGGGCCGACGCGGAACTGGTTCGGAGTCGAGAATTATCCAGAGTACGACGAATGAATCGAAATGGGCCGGCAATTAACAGAGCGACAACGAACGTCTCGCGCATACCGCAGGAACTTAAAAGAGACAACAAACATGGCATGGTGTTCAGGGCGGAACGTGTCGAAGGAAATCCCCTCTTCGGCGACAACCAGGAAACGCCTGCCTACTTGTCGCAAAGTCTAACCGTGCTGCAATCAGCTTACAGGTAGTGAGGCGGGGCAGTACAACTTTATTCGTTAGTTCCAAAGCCTGAATCTTCCACGCCACCTACTCACCCCCGCCCATCAAGATTCTACGACACCTTTTCCACCCAAGCGCGGTCATGTTCTGGTAGCCAGGGGACCCTACTTTCCAGCCTTACCAACGCCATCGTGAGTACGTATTCTGCAAGGCGTTCGGGTAGCATTTGCTTGCCAACTCGCGGGGGGGACGGGCCTTCGAGACAACGCACCCTTGGTCACACGCCGGCACTTCATGGACCGCTCCAAGGTACGAACTACATCATATTGAACCTGTCACAGAAGCCGTGACCTTGACGAAATGCAGACAGTTAATGGCCCACTCTGCATCATGTTCAACCTACCACAGGACCTATGCCGCCCAAGCTTGGGAACCTAGGCACTCTGCGTCAACTTCACCCAAACACTTATTTTTGGAAATCGAAGCTGCCCGCGTCCAAACGAGTATGCCCCAATATACTGCTGACAAACACCACACAATATTCGCGACCTTTTGAGGCAAAATGGGCTGGCAAATAAGCGAGAGAAACCGTCCCGCGTACACGACAGGATCTTGAGAGATAACAAACATGGTTGGTGTACTTCACGGTGAAGCGTATGTCAAGAATCAGGAATGTGCAATACATAGGTTTTGGGCTGTGCTGCGGCAACTCAGCAACGACATGTCCTACGACACCACCGTGCCTGCGACTGCAAAGTTGGCACTAAAAAAAGACGTATCGCCGGATGTAGTTTTTCTGTTGGGGTGCGGTATCTCACGCAGGCCGGATGATAAAAGCGCAGGTCGTGAGAGCCATCGACGGGGTGAGGTAACCAGGCGGGGAATACCACAGCTTGCAAAACATCACTGTTGCCGCAGTTGCAAGTGGGGTGCAAAAAAGGGTGTTGGTGTCATCACGAAGGGGGTTCAGATGCATTTGCATGTGGCGAGCAGAGCACGGGCTTCCCGCCACGTGTCCATGGCGAAGGCTCTTGTGGTGCACGTCGGCTCTCCGCGATGCTCTGCACCACTGGGGCGTGGTGCTGCTATGGGGGGCCTGCAGCAGAGGCTTTTAAGCCGGTGCGATGGCTGTCACCTGGGTGGGTGCATGCTATGCCAGCTGAGGTAGCAGCAGTAAGAGGAGCCGCCGGTGTCGAACAAGTCTATTCGGCTAGAACGAAAGAACGCGATCGATCGAGCCCACACCGCGTTAGCCGAAGAAGTGGAAGGTCTGCAGCGCGATTGTACCTACTCCCGCCCGTTCAGGTAATGATCGGTTGCCTACGGCGTGGTTCCCATAGGCAGGGGAAGGTGTGGTGCGTATTGCCTGTTTATCTCTCATCAACCGTGTATCACCTGGGTTGCTCGGGTGACCAAGGGGGCTTCTGGAGTGAATGCAGGCATGTGTTTTGGTTTTGCCTCAGCAAAGTGTTGTTTTAGGCTCTAGGGTTTCAAGATTAGTGTTGCCACAGTAAAACATACCGTAGGCATTTGGTATGCACCCTACAGTCTTTAGGTGTCACCGTCTTCAATTCACACAATCGAAGAGGTGTAGGTTCAAGTATGGACAACATAAATTCTCCACAATCGATCGACTTTTGGAGCAATGCATCCCAATGTGCACTCCGCGAGCCCCCACAGAACAGCGGCCCCGCGGTTTACGCGGTACCCTCAGGGGGCATTGCTATCTTCGGTAGCTTTGGCAACCCGGGAGGTAATTCAGAGACCAACACTATCGGCCGAAAAGTGTGCGAAGAAAACTGTACTACAACCGGGTGAGGTGTTCAGTCTGGTGTCTCCATGTCGTTTACGGGAGACGGAGCAAAGCGCGGGCATGCCGAACGAACAAAACGACGAATCTGGCACAGTACAAACGTCATTGAAAATGCGTTCAGGACATACACGTATACAACAGGGTCGGGTGTTCAATCCGGTGTCCATGTCGTTTACAGTAGACGGTGAAAAGTGCGGGCACGAACTAACAAGACGACGATCTGGCACAGCAGTATAAAATGTTGTTTATGACGCGATCACCTTTTAGATGGATGGATTTCAAAGCACATGGCAACAAAGCAGCACGTCATTCCGTATGGATTGGGCCGAAGAATACCTGCGAGGTTGTTCCAGTTGAGCTGTAGCTTCACCACACGGCCCTGGTCGTTGACGTTGACTCCTTGCTATGTCTTGAGATCGGAATCTGTGTCCCAATTTTGGCTTCTTCTCCATTTTACCCCGCCGGTAGCACGATACATGGCGACCAGTGCGTCACGGTCCGTCTCCGCCATTGTCGGAGGGACCTGCGGGGAGTCCAACGAAAGACGAAGGTCGCGGGAAAAGCGTCAACAACTCGATAAGTACAAAAATGCTGCACGGATTATCTACATGGTGTGGGGTACAGAAACATGGCGGTCGAAAATCCACCGCCAGCCTCTCTAGTTGGCTGACTGAGAGCTCCCAAGGCCTCGGGAAGGCCCTAAATATTGAGTCGAGACACAGGAACCACAACAGACCCAAGAAAGTACAAATACAACAGTTGACGAATCTGTGTCCTGCCTACGCGTCCGAACGTCTTTCGGCTGTTTCAGTCACCCCTGTTGCAGGTACTCATAGGATGCTTGCAGCAGGAAAACCGCACGAAAAATCCAAGTCGCTACAGGTGAATTATCGCATATTCGTGACCGCGTCATGTATCGAATGCGCGATGGATGCGTCGTGCTCGCGAGAGACACACCACACGAGAGGGACAGTGAAGGGCCGTGGTAGACGGCCACGATTTTCCGCTTCAACAATTTCAAGACATCCAAGGTTTTCAAGTCACAATCCGAGAATGAACCTGGTTAGTTCTGTTGGGAACCAGGGAAGCATCGCTTCCGACTGATGTTTCGAACGCTCCATGCAGGGAATTTGGCGTAGCCGAGAGCGAAACACTTGGCATCTACAGCCAGGCCGATACCACGAACCCAGGTACGACCACAACTCTGGCGCAACGAACGCTTGCTGCTCACGTCGCGCACTCGCTGAAACAAAACTCGTCATCGCTAGACTCCTGCTTGCTGTGGCACACAACACCACAGACATAAAACACAACATTCCAAAGGTGTGTCCTGTAGGGTCTGTAACTTTTTTGTGGGGTATTTGAATTTGTCACAGAACTCACAGAACTATTCGGTAGGCATCGGACGTGCCACAGAACTCAACAGAACTAGTGTAATCGGGTTTGTGCGAAGGTCGTACAGAACCCACACATCGTAGCGGGTACGTTCGTAAATGTTACAGACGTTATCTGTAGGGTATTGCAAGTGTCACACATCTCACAGAAGTGGCCGGTAGGGTATTGGAAGTGCCCTAGATCTCACACAACTATCCGGTAGGGCATTGGAAGTACCACAGAATTCGTCTGTAACATCCTCTAGGGTATCGCAAGTGCCACAGAATAGGGGTATGCGAGCATGGTTGTTCGCCACTGTGTCACGCGACTGCAGAGCGGCAGAAAACAAACAAACTCATATGTAATACCGGGTACGTTGACAACGCTGCTGCTTCACATGATCAAAAATACGCTTTTGGCAACATACTGCAGACACTGCCAATGATTATTATTCAATCCATATTTTTTCCTGTCGTGCTCACAGGTTTGCCACATGAGGTGCTGCAAGGACACGTGGTCACGAGAAACAATAACGAAACACCAACACATCGTACGCTCACGCACTTGTTTGACGGGTGCCACCCAACCACTGCCGACAAACACAAACTAATAGGAGCGAAAGTCTCCTCACTCGAGTACTCTGCAACATGCAACAACAGCCAACGGACTCGACAATATCAGCTATGGCTGGAAACGAACATAGAATGCCCCCGCCGACGAGTCCTGATTGCAATTGCCTGATTGGCCACAACTTGCTACAGAAAGAAACCCGGTTCATTCAGCCCTCCAAGTCGATGTCATTCACGGAGGGAGGCGCCGTGTTCTTCACCACGTCCAAGATGGCTTCAGCGGCCATCAGGTCAGCATCCCCGTTCAAGTCATCAACTGCCTTCACCACTGCAGCATCGACGGCATGCGGCTCTCCGTTCTTGTTCTAGACCGCTGCCGCTGTGATTACAGGCCCGCCTGCACAACTGCCTCCCGCGCCAACTATCTCTACTTTGCCCGCCGCGCGTTCAACCGCAATATCGTTAGTAGTGGTGAGCGAAAGCGATAAAAAGGCAAAACGATAATATAAAATAAATGAAAAGCTTTTTTAAATAAAGAATGAACCAACGTATTATTAATAAATAATATTGTTACCGTAGAAGGTGCTAGTCCTGGAATAAGTTATTTTTTCGTTCAAGTAAAATGAGGCAAGTTTACCTTGTTTGAGTACTGGGGGACCACCCTCAAAGCCTAAATGTTTTGCTTTCCGATAGCTAATGAATGAAGCATCTGCTTGTAAATACTCTGCTGTGAACTTATTAACATTCGCTGCCGCTAATTCAATTTTAGACCAGTGTGAATGAAGTTTAGCTTTATTTAAATCAGATAAAGCGTTATTAAATTCAAACCTAGCAAATTTTGAAGCTACTGCCGCGCTATTTAAAGCAAATTTGCTACTAAAATTTTCTCTTTCCTATCTTGTCCAAGGTAGCTGATCATCAATTAACTGTTCGTTGGGATTTACGTTAGAATTAGCCTGCGGATGTTGTTCATTCGTGGGCTGTGCCAAGTTTACGTGTTAAAGTAGATGCTTGTCCTGGTCGTTTAAATCAAGTATTCATGTTTGTTAAGCGGGAAGGTGTAGCGAACTTTGTGGAGTTAATGGTGGTTTTATGCCTATCGTAGTTCAAGCGGTTAGTCAAGATGAAGATTTAACTTGGGTTGGTAAAAGGTTATGCTCTGAACTCTTCTCTTTATATTTCTTTACGTATTGGTGGTTTAATCCTTATACCTTCGGATAAAAAGTTATTCATGAGGCAGAATGCTCTTATTCTAACCTCTTTAATGTTTTGATTTTTTTAATTTCTTCATTAACCAAAGCTTCAAGAGCTTTATCTAAAAGAGCTGAAAAAGGCTTACTTTCATTTATATCCGTGATTTTGAATAGATCTGTAAAAAATTGTAAAATTTCTCTTTCCAATCCTTTTTTAATATAAACAATTTTGACCCTTTTTTCATCATCAGGAATTCCAGCTTGGTAAAATGCCAATACCGAAAGGAGATGACCAGCCACCTAAAAAAAAAAATAGAAGTTAAAGCCCCCACAACTAACATGTTAGCATGTTCCCCTAAAAAAACTAAAGCAAAACTCATTGCGGAATACTCAAAATAATAACCAGAGACTAATTCAGCTTCAGCCTCTGGCAAATCAAAGGAATGACGATTTGTTTCTGGTAAACAACCTATCAAAACCATTATGCTTGGCAAAATAGTAAACATAAGCCATATATTTAGATGAGCAATAGCTATTTCAGTTAAATTTAAAGTACATACGCACGAACAAACGTTAATTAAACCAATACCCATTGAAAACTCATAAGAAACAATTTGGGCACCAGGTCGCAAAGCCCCTAAAAACGCCTATTTAGAATTACTAGACCAACCCGACATTAAAACACCATAAACACCTAAAGAAGATACTGCTAAAAAGTATAAACCTCCCCGCTGAGTATCAGCAATAACATTACCATAACTAAAAGGAATAACTGTGGAGGACACCTGTCGGGAGTATAACCATGACTGCACATACAAAATGTAGGAAGATATAGCTCTATCGGGGTATCTTGTCACTGGGAGCGTGACAAGAAACGCACCGTCGGAGATTTGTCGCTTCCGAAGTCCATGGCCACTTGCCGAAAGGAGAAGCGTAGAGTCTTCGACTCTCCTCTCCCTCTGCTCTCTCTGGCCACTCTTTCTTTCTACCCTCTTTTCCTCGTTTACATATCACGAGAGGAAATAGGCTTCCCCTGGCAGTGGGATAATACTGCCAAGGCACCGGCCTCTGTCTCCGNGCTTCCGAAGTCCATGGCCACTTGCCGAAAGGAGAAGCGTAGAGTCTTCGACTCTCCTCTCCCTCTGCTCTCTCTGGCCACTCTTTCTTTCTACCCTCTTCTCCTCGTTTACATATCACGAGAGGAAATAGGCTTCCCCTGGCAGTGGGATAATACTGCCAAGGCACCGGCCTCTGTCTCCGACAGTAGCCAGGGTCCATATTGGCGTCGACTAGAACACGGCTCCGCCGTGACTACTGTAGCGAGGAGAGAAGAAAAAAAAAAGAAACGACGAGAAAATGACGAAAAGCTCCTCGCAGCGCAAGAAAGAGCTTCGCGAACAAGTCAAGGAGGCGGCAGCACTGGTAGCTGAAAAAGATGCGGCGCTAGCGAACCAGGAGCGGGAGCTCGAGGAGCTGCGGCGGAAGCTCGCCGGTACTGTCCCCCCGTCGCTGTCGACCTCTACCCCACCGGGAAGGGGCACCCCCTCGGAGCGTGTGTCTGTGCAGGGTCCC